AGGAGTTTTGGAGACCAGCAACAGGAGCTTCTTCCTTGGCTTATTAACCAAACTTTCGGTTCAAATCAACTCTTTTTCAAGAGTTCAAACTCGTTCAGAGTTATCAACTCGATCAGAGTTCAAAACTTACTCTACGAGTTCTTCTAGAACTCGTTCAGAGTTATCAACTCGTCAAGAGTTATTTCAAAACTTGCCACGCAAGTTCTCCACAGCGTCAAATCGTGAGGAGAAGACATCGTTCTAGTGAATCAAGACGTTCGGATCGTCAACGAGAAGCAAACTCGACGTGAGCATTCGAGGGAGGCATCTCATCTCCACCGTGAAGAACCCAGTTTTAAATAAAGGGGAGAATCAAATTCATTTTCTTCTCTTTTGTAATCGGAATCCAAATTGTAATTGATTTTGAGAGGAATACAAGTCAAATTTTCTTTCATTGTCTTTTTACTGTAAATTTCCAACAAACAAAAGATGGCGACTCCGCTGGGGACTAGCTTCTCTGACGAAGAAGTGGTGGTGCAATCCGACGTTCATCTCACTGGAACGACCGTTGAAACTCTGATTATCGAGTTTGATCAAGCCAAGTACGAGGAGGCCATCTCCTCCGGATCCCTTAGCCCCAAGGCTATGCGTAAGATCCACACAGTTTTCGAGGAGACTAAACCTCCAGTTGTAGCCAAATCATCTAAAGACTCTCTCCCATGGGGGTTGCACTGTTCATACAGTCCCCTCCCTATAGGAGAAGGCTCGACTTCGGCACAACTCCAAAGCCGATCCTCCAATCAACGCGAACTCCGCGTTTGCAAGCCTCAACATGAGCTCTGCATAGGCCAAGCTAAACGCAACCCTCAGAGGTGCGTTTCCCAGATAGAACGTAGCCTTCAGAGGCGCGTTCCAACATCAGAACGCATACCTCAAAACTGCGTTGATCTGGCTGAATGCAACTCTCAGGAGTGCGTCCCAGAACTAAAACGCAACTCTCAGGAGTGCGTTCCAAAATTTAAACGCAGACATCAAACCTGCGTTGATCTGGCTAAACGCAACTCTCAAGAGTGCGTCCCAGAACTAAAACGCAACTCTCAGGAGTGCGTTTCGCAAACTGAATGCAACTCTCAGGAGTACGTTTCTGAATCCGAACGCAGATCGCAGGACTGCGTTTCACTAGCAAAACGCAGACTTTGGTCTTGCGTTAATCAAGCTAAACACGACCATCGTGTTCCCTCTTTGGAACATGATGTGATTTGTCGTGTTCAAAATGATCAACATGGATTTAAAATTCATGTTTACCAAGAACCAGTCCCATCCTTTAACGGACAGGGGGTTCCATCTCTACCCTCACGCTCTGTGAGAGGTTCATCCCAAGTCTCTGACTTGCGACTCGAGCAGCCCCACCTCTAAAGGAGTGGGCTCAGTTTATGCCAAACGCAGCCCTCAGTGGTGCATTGTGCAATCAAAACGTAGCCTTCAAAACTGCGTTGATTTGGCAGAACGCAACTCTCAGGAGTGCGTTTCAGAACCAAAACGCAACTCTCAGGAGTGCGTTCAAGATCCAAAACGCAGACTTACAAACTGCGTTAACCAACAAAAACGCAACCGGCAAAGGTGCGTTTCATCAACAAAACGCAGACTTCGGTCTAGCGTTAGTAAAACAGAACACGACCCTCGTGTTTCTTCTTCAGAACACGATGCGATTCGTCGTGTTCAAAAAGATCAACGTGGACTCAAGATCCATGTTCACCAGGAGCCAGTCTCATCCTTTAATGGACAGGGGGTTCCATCTCTACCCTCACGCTCTGTGAGAGGTTCATCCCAAGTCTCTGACTTGCGGGAATTGCTGTCGATGTTCAACCGACCGACGAATGTCGTTTTGCTCAATAATCGACGACATCATCACAGGAAGAAGACTTTAGAGGTTGAATACCTTGGAGTCACTTCTAACATGGTTGGTAGAGGGAGATCATCAACCCTTAGTTCCGACGGGTCAGAGACAGATCATTCTCCAAGCGTCAGAGAAATCACTAACGAGTTTGAAGGAATCTACCAACGTACTCGGACTCGAACAGGAGCCATTCCCCCTGTCAACTATCGGAGTTTGGCCAGAGAAACTAATTCCGATGACGAACACTCAGCCATTGCGGAGTCCCAATCATCAAGCTCTTTCGTTGGGCATGAGAGCTTCGTCCACATGGCAGAACATTCGGAAGACCTTTCAAAGAGACTTGATGAACAGGAAGCCATGCTCAAATCTCAGCAGGAGGCCATCAATGAACTCATGGCCATGTTGACTCAAATCGTCGCAGACAAGGCCAAATCTCAAGAGACAGATTCGCCGCTTAGGCAAGAATCTTCCCGGAGAGGAAAAGCGTCTTCATCCCGACCTCACACAAGCAAAGGGAAGGGAAAAGTGGTTGATGATGCGGCTTCTGACCAAGAAGCCCACAGCCTGGAATCTTCCTCTGATGAAGGAAGAGAGACTGAGAACGAGCAGAATCTTCAGTCTGCCAAAATGGAAGAATTGGAAGCCCGCCTCAAAGCCCTTGCTAACAGAAGCGAGCTCTAAGATGAGGGAGTTATCAGACCCTATCCTGCCGAATGGGATGCAGCCCCTTATCCTCCAAAGTTCGAGGTCCCGACGCTACAAACTTTTGACGGCACGGGATCACCGAACCAACATATTTATCATTTCAAGTCACAGACTGGAAATATAATATCGAACGATGCCATACTGGCTCGATTGTTCATTGGCACCCTCAAGGGAATTGCCTTTGAATGGTTCAGGAAACTGCCTGCGGGCTGTATCCAAAAGTGGGCGGATCTAGAGAGACTCTTCCTGTCAAGATTCTTTGAAGAGGATACAGAAGTCTCCATCCATACCCTTCTTGCTACTAAGCAGAAGAAGAGGGAGTCCGTCAAAGCCTATGTCAAAAGGTTCCGATCCATGGCTCTCCGGTGTTCGTCAGGTATGACACAATCTACCTTAGTAGAGACCTGTCGACACAACTTGCAAACCGACCTCCTAGCTCGAATAGGAGTTGCAGAATGCCGTTCTTGGAGACAACTAATCTCTCAAGGCGAGCAGGCTCAAAAAATCATTGTCAGGATCAAAGCTGAAGAACAAAGTAGGCATGATCAGCCCGAGCAATCGGATCAAGCCCAACCTTCTCCAGAGCAATCGGACCAAGTCCAATCTCCTCAGTCAGAAGGGGAAGATACTACGGCCACTGAAGCTAATCCTCTCCAGTAGGATGCCAGACCTCCAACAACTATCACGTTAACAATTACCTCTGATAGTCAAACTCATCAGATAATGGCCTACCTGGTG